AGTAAGGAGTGCTCCCTGTCCTTCCCCAGTGTGGAGTGCTCCCCGTCCTTCCCCAATGCGGAGTTCTCCCTGCCCTTCCCCCGTGCAGAGTGCTCCCTCCCCTGCCACAGTGCAGAGTGCTCCCTGCCCTTCCCCAGTGCAGAGGGCTGTGCCTGTTTTTGTAGTTTTTCTGGCAGGAAACTAATGGGTTGCTGATCTGTTTGCTGCTTTTAAGGTTACATGTAAGTGCCCTGGGGTTGTCTAGAGTAGTCTTTATTCTGCAGCTAAGTTGGCCTTGCATCTGACCTACAGCCCTTCTGCATCCTCCACGGAGTATGTGAAGTCTCTATGAATCACGACGGTGGGCAAACACATGTCACAGAGGAGGAACAATGAGTGCAGGTTACATCAATGATGAAATAAAATTTCACTTTCAGATTGAAAATTTTGGTGAAGAGAAGGGGAAATTAATACATGTGTACATTGTTTGTATTTTGTGAACAAATAAAATTTGTCAGTGTTCATAAATATCCCTTCCAAGATTCATCCCCCTTCCCAGACTGTGTTCTGCATAAATACCCAGTGCTCAAATATTTATGAAAATACCAAGTGTAGCATTTTTATGACAAAAATGAAGTAATCAAATTTCCATCAATAAATGCCTGGCTAGGGGTGCCTGGGTGGCTCGGTCGGTTAAGCCTCTGACTCTCGGTTATGGCTCAGGTCATGATCTCACAGTCTGTGAGATCAAGCCCCATGTTGGGCTCTGTGCTGACAGCATAGAACCTGCTTAGAATTCACTCTCTCTCTCTCTCTCTCTGCCCCTCCCCTGCTTGTGCTCTCTCACTCGCTCGCTCTCTCAAAATAAATAAACATTAAGAAAATTGGGAGATGAATTCTAAGTGACTAAAGTGGTCCGGAGGGGCCGGTTGAAACCGTTTTGATCCTGCTGACTCACAAGCTGCCAGTGCTGTGTAACATTCTGTAGCCGGTTCATTTATCTTTTGGAGTCAGGCAAGCTGAGAATGATAGAAATGCAGATGGCTGGATGGTGGTTGGAAGCATTCCTGTGATTTATATTTTGATAGGATTTGGAAGAAATCTTTTCCCTGTAATACTATCTTCAGAGCTCAAGTACTGTGTTACCATCCGAGGCAGTGTGTGGTCCTCTACAGCCTTCCCACAGCGTGACCGTGCTGCCAGTGGTACATCAGGACCTGATCACAGAGGGACTCATGTGCCGTGTGGTGACCCTCCAAAAGCAGTGAAACATAACCTTCATGGAGCCTCTGGGAGCTGCCTGTGGCTGGGCCTTGCAGTGGGGAGATGACCCATGGCCTGCAGGCCATTGAGAGGAAACGGGGTGTTCTGGGGGACACGATGCACTTGCCAACCAGCTGAGCTGCCTACACTCACTGAGAAGGGTACCTCTGAAACCTCACATTATGAGACTGGCAACTTCTCTTTAAACAAACAGTATATGAGTATTTCTGCTGAGTGAAAATTAAAAATTATCTGCTAAATGGAGGAATTTAGTTGAGGGGGTCCTCAGCTTTCTCCGGGTTGAGGGAGAGTATCAGATCCATGACAATACAGGAAAGTCGTGCTTTTACCCTGGATCAGGAGTACTCACACCTTGGTTTACACAGGCATCACCCAAGGAGCCTGTTAAAATGCAGACTCTGATTCATTAGGTTTTTTTTTTTTCTTTCAACGTTTTAATTTTATTTTTGGGACAGAGAGAGATCATGAACAGGGGAGGGGCAGAGAGAGAGGGAGACACAGAATCGGAAACAGGCTCCAGGCTCTGAGCCATCAGCCCAGAGCCTGACGCGGGGCTCGAACTCACGGACCGCGAGATCGTGACCTGGCTGAAGTCGGACGCTTAACCGACTGCGCCACCCAGGCGCCCCTGATTCATTAGGTTTTAATGAGCTTTCCAAGTGATTCCTTTTTTAGTAGTAAAAATTAACAGTAAAATTAAAACTATTTTTAATTATGTGAAATTTCAAATGTATACGTGTAACAAGATGCTGACTTCTTGCCACATTTGCTTTATATCTCTGTGTAAGAAAACATCACAGAGCAACTCAAGTTTCCCATTTAATCTCTCTCCCTCCTTGCACCCCAGATGTGACTGCTATTCTGAAGACCGAACATCATTTCATATGTTTTTGCATATATTTATTTTAGTAAACAATACGATGTATTATTTCAATATTTTTATAAATACGGCAATGCTTGCCACCTGTCTGCCGTCACTTTCTACTTGCTTTCCTTACTTGACATTATGCTTTTGCTGTGTGTCCCTGTGGAAAAGGCACATCCAACATGACAGTCCACATGTGATGTGTGTCCACATTAATATGTATGGATTTGGGATGATAATCAATGTGTGATGAATCCATGGCTTGCTAATTTATCTTCCCATGGGCGGGTGGTTAGGTAGTTTCCACTTTTTTGCTCCTGCACAAAGTGATGGAATAAACAACTGTGACCCTGTGTTGTACACACAGGAGTGAAATTGTTGTATAGTAGATATGTGCATCTTCACCTTGAATAGATGTGCAAAGTAAGACAGTCCTGTGGATCACGTGTCATTTAGTTATCACCTATTGTGTTCCAGGTCCTGTTTTCTTGCTGAGGATACAATGGTGAGCACAAACTATAGCCCCTCTCTTAATGAAACCCAGTATGAGAGATATTAATTAAGTAATCAACTGAATGAGTAGCTCTAAGGGAAATGAGAAGGCACTAGGAGGGCAGACGGTGGAGGGAGCTGACTCAGTCTGGTTAGGGGGAAATCAGGGATTTAACATGCAGCTGGGATGTGAAAAGAGCATAAGCTAACCAGGCAAATAGCATTTCGTGCAGGAATAATGTGTCCACAAGACTCAAGGAGGCATGTTGCCTTGGGTCATGAGGTTCTTATCCTATCCTTGGACCAGAGATTCCAGGGCCATCATTAGATGGGAAGGGAGATGTCTTAGGGTTCTCTGGAGAAACAGAACCAGTGGGAGATATACATACTTCTGGGCTTATGATGATTTATACACACACACACACACACACAAACACATATAATATGCACATACACACATATGTATAACATAGTATAACTAATATATGTGTAATTACATGAACGGCATTATACAATATAGCATGCAATACACATATACATACATATGGAGGCTCATTATTGAATTGGCTCATGCAGTTATGGAAGTCCTCACTACCAGCCATCTGTAAACTGGGGACCTAGAAGAACTGATGGAATAATTCAGTCCAAGTCTGAAGGCCTGTAAGTTGGGGGGCAACATGTAAGTCCGATTCTGGGTCTGAAAGCCAAAGAAGCAAGTATACTCTTCCTTCCCTTTTTTGTTCCATTCTGGCCGTCACTGGACTGAATGACGCCCATCCCCGCTGGTGAGGACAGTCTTCTTTATCCAGTTTTCCCGTTCAAATGTTCATCTCTTCCAGAGACACCCTCACAAGCACACCCAGAAATAATGTTTGACCAGCTGTCTGGTGTGCTGCAGCCCAGTCAGGTTGGCACACAAAAGCAACTATCGTAGGAGAGACATCCTCGGTGGTTCAGGACCGAGACCCACGTGGCTAAGCAGAACTCTGGGCAGCTCTACAGGGGCACTTTTTTTTTTTTTTTTAATTTTTTTTTCAACGTTTATTTATTTTTGGGACAGAGAGAGACAGAGCATGAACGGGGGAGGGGCAGAGAGAGAGGGAGACACAGAATTGGAAACAGGCTCCAGGCTCTGAGCCATCAGCCCAGAGACCGACGTGGGGCTCGAACTCCCGGACCGCGAGATCGTGACCTGGCTGAAGTCGGATGCTTAACCGACTGCGCCATCCAGGCGCCCCTCTACAGGGGCACTTTTAATGGAACTGAGCCAGCTCCCACCTCCTGAAGGTCAATAAGACATAGGCAGAGACTCTGGGTTGGTGAGAAATCCCAGGGATCTCAGAAGGAACCAATGCATCCGTTGTGTGTTAATGTGTGTCATATTCTGGGAACTGCAAACTTTCAGTAACAGGCGGCTGAAAGCCACATCTCACTAGGATGCCGTGGAGAATCCGCAGAGGAATATTTCCTCAACAAAGCTGTTTTGAAGGTGTCAATGGCAACTCACATAGAAAGAGGGTGTTTATAACAGGTAGGACACATAAGATTCAGGGGTCAGAGAGCAACAAAGAACGCGAACTTTAGAAATTGCCCATTTACAGATTTTTGGCCATGTGCATCAAGACCTTCCTGAGAGCTGCCTTGATATCCTTGTTCTTCAGGCTGTAGATGAGAGGGTTCAAGGTGGGGCTCACAGTGGAGTAAAGCACAGCCACCACCTTGCCCGTCCCTGGGGAGTGGCTGGAGCCAGGGCTCAAGTAGGTGTAGATGATGGTGAAGTAGTACAAGGTGGCTGCAATGAGATGGGAGGAACAGGTGGAGAAGGCCCGCTGCTTCCCCTCGGCTGTTCGAACCCTCAGGATGGTGGACATGATGAACCCGTAGGACACCATGGTGAGCAGGAAGTTCAACATGGCAAAGAAGACGTCAGCTATAATTGCCATGATGTTGTTCACATATGTGGAGGAGCAGGAGAGCAGCAGCAGAGGAAGGATCCCACAGAAGACGTGGCCAATCACGTTGGGCCCACGGAAGGTCCGCCGTGACATCAGGCAGGCATTGACTCCAGCGCCAAGCATGCCGATGCCCACACGACTCCAGCCCGCGCTGCACACACCCTGGGGGTCATCATGGAGCTGTAGTGCAGTGGTTGACAGATGGCCATGTAGCGGTCGTAGGCCACGGCAGTGAAGAGCAGCACATCCCCTGCCACCGCCCACAACCATGCAGGGCCATGCAGCTCCAGTAGGAGATGCTCCTCTTCTCCTCCACCAGGCTCCCTTGGGCACCATGGTGCATGTGCAGACAAGATCCAGCACAGACAGGTTGGCCAGGAAGAAGTACATGGGGGTGTGGAGCCTGGAGCTGAGGGTGATGGCCACCACGAGGAGGGAGTTGCCACAGAGTGCCACGGCGTAGAGGCAGAAGAAGAGAATGAAGAGGAGAGCCTGGAACGGCGGCACTTCTGAGAAGCCATGCAGTGGGAATTGTGTCACCAGCATCCGATTACTCATGGGCTTTGGTCTGTCCAGACTCTTTCTGGTCAAGATAACTTCATATGTCAGACTCTCCTGGAATTTACCAAATTTCTTATTTCATTAGACTCAGGCATCACCAGCTAACAAGCTCCTCTCAGGGAAACGGGTAGGAGCACTTACCCTTCCACCTCCTGCACTCAGGACTACCTCCCCACCCCCCACGTCCCTACACTCAGGACTACCTCCCTGCCCCCCACACCCCTGTACCCACACCCCTACCTGGTGCAGTGGTCTCCCGCAGTGATTGTCTGACCTCACCCTGTCCCTGCTAGAACCCTTCAGGAGCATGATGTACAGCGTCCACAGTGGGCCTTAAAGTGTCCCCATATCCCATCCTGGCCAGGGAGTGTCCAGCCTCACCCCTGTTCTTCTCCCCTCTCCCTCAAAGTGTCCTATTCTGCTCCCTCTGCCTGGTCCCCCAACCCTCTGCACATCCCCTGCCCCAGATGGGAGCTTCCACCTAAGTGAACGTCAGACCCCAACATGGAGCCTGGGCTCTGCTTAGGGGACAGGGGCTGCTGCTGGGGGAAGCAGGAGCCCAGGTTCAGGGAAGGGTGGTCTGCAGTCAGGTGGGAGAGTAAGTCACCAATGGGGACAGACATGAGGTCCAGGCTGGTGGGCAGAGTCAAGACCAGAAGAGGAAGGCCGGTGGTGGTTCAGGCAGTCCTGGAAGCAAGGAGGAGGTCCCAGGCTGAGGGGTCCAGGGCAGACACACAAAGAAGGAGCAGATCAAGGGGTTTCCCAGAGCCCAGGTTGCTGATTCTGCCCCGATGACTGCCCAGTCCTGGGAATGATACACCCAAGGCCAGGTCAAGGCAGCATCAACTGATTCTGTAGGGGTGACCTTGTCCGTAGCCCTTGTCCATGCTGATTCCATGCTGGCCCTTTGGAACTTAGCACAACTGCAGATGTATTTCATATTCCTTAATAATATTTGTTGTACGAAAACAGACACAAGAGATATTTCAAGGATGAGCCTGTAAATGACAAGTGCATAAATGTCAGGCTTATGGAGAAGGCTGGACACTTCAGAAAGACACAGTTGCTCCAGTGGATGGGGTTACACGGTGTCCCGTTAACCGGACCCAGTATCAGGACCATACCCCCCACAAGCATACTTCACACGTGCAGACAAGTAACCCTATTGCAGATCAGATGACAGTATTACCTACTGCTGAGTGGGAGAGTCTCTTTCTTCCATCCCGAGCCCAGACCTGCCTGAACAGAAGGACACTGTGAACCAGTTAAGTCTGTCAGTAAAGCACTTCTTAAAGGGTTTCCTATGACAAACAGGTGACATGTTGTATTGTCACTGTTCTAATGATGACTTTGTCCAGCAAATGTACAAACCTTCCCCAAGTTCACAGGGGAAGTTCACAGTCTTAAGAAAAATATTTCTGCTTAAAATATCAGGTGTGAATGGGTCCCAGCATCCTCATTTTTACAACCCAAGGGATTTTCATGTTGGAAAGACCAGCAAGCATGGGGTAGCCAGTCTATCTTCTGAAGGAAGATACTGCTCCTGCTCTGTGCAGTAATGTGGTATTAATAGGGACATTCTTGGAAGTGTCATTAAATACATTATTCTGGCAACTGGACCTGAAGTCAGACCCTTTCAGGCTTTTCCCATTGCAGAAAAGAGAATAGTGCACAGAATGAGCTATTTATGATCTGCTGCCCTTGGGTTGGGCTGTGCTGTGAACATGAGGGGCCCAAGAAGAGCAGAGGCTGAAGTCTGAGGGTCAGAGGAGAGCAGTGGGAACATAGAAGCACCGTAGGGCAAACCCTCCGCTCTTGTGAAGACGCAGAAAACTCCCACCCTGCTCTCCTTTCCGGCCACGGAAGAACTGACCCTGGACAGTGTGTGGTCAGTTGTTGGTTTATGAAATTGCAACTTATCATAACAACATATTCCCTCAAAAAGCAGAAGCCGGTAACTTTCAAACTCTCCCTAATGTCCAGGACAGACTTGCACACGACCCCCTCCCAGGGCACAGCCAGGGTACGTGACCCAGACAGACAGAAATGGCAGAACTTAAGGGCACTGGGCTCTGGGGGGCAGCAGGCCACCACGGACGTGACCACATGCAAACCCAGGACCGAAGGTGCATCAGCCAGAGGGAGATGGGAGCAACAGGGGGCCTGTCTCACTTCCTTGGGGTCAGGAGAGGTGACAAGTGTGGCAGCACCCACCTCAGAGGAGAGCCGTGCTGTCCTCTGCCTTCCTGGCAGGTATTTGGAGGCGTCTGCTGGTGGTCCAGAGAGGACGGGGCACATCTCTGCCCTTGCACCTGCCCTGAGCTGCAGAACTCATGTACGTGGACTTCAGCCACAGAGTCCTAGCCCCTACTCCCTTCCCTGCCCTGCTCTCTCTGTGAACACTGAAGCTGATTAAACCCCTTAAAATTCAAAACTGCTCAATAACTTTTGACCTAGCAAATAAAAACTTTCATGATCTAAGTCATTGTATTCCACTAATTTTGTAAAGTGAATCTCTCCAACTATAGCAAGAGATTCACAATCAAGAATAAATACACAGTACCACTTAAACAATTTTTTGGCAGATTGAAGCTTCTTCTCAAGTCCTGGAAACATTGCAGGTGGTCCTTAAACTGCCGAGGGAGTCCCCTCGGGACTGATTCAGAAGAAACAAACCACATCCCCTTGTGCAGGCACAGTCTGGGTCCTCCTGTGCTCAGGATGGGGGACAGTAGCCGGAGCCGAGGGTGGCCTGGTTTTAAAGAGCCAGGCTGCTGTGTGACGCAGCGAGTGAGGGCGTAAACCCACTGGGACCCAGCTCCAGATCCTGTCACTTAGAGGAACTCAGAAGTCCTGGGGGCCTCTGAACCTGAGGGCGGTGGCCGCAGCACAGAGTGGGTACAGGACAGAGATAAGAGGTGTTGACGTTAGCTGTCCCTTCTCGAGGTTCAGCAGACAAGAACTTACTTCCCTACGGGGCTGTGGTGGGGAATGTCTGCCAGACAACGAAATGCCAAGTGCACACTCCGAGTGCTGGTTCCTTGTGGAAACACAGCACTGGAAGTCTCCTTGGAGGTGATGGTGCTGACCCTCATGTACAGAGGAGAAAGCAGGTGCAGCGAGGGGGGGATCGCCCCACATCATGGGCCTGTGGATGGCAGAGCAGAGCTGGACGTGGCCCCACGCATAGCCTCCAGGCTGGGAGGGTTGTCCCAGCAGTGATTCTGGGCCTCCAGCTTGGAGCCTGCTTCGGATTCTGGGTCTCCTTCTCTCTCTGCCCTTCCCCGCTGGTGCTCTGTCTCTTTCCCAAAAATAAATAAACATTAAAAAAATTAAAACAGGGGCGCCTGGGTGGCGCAGTCGGTTAAGCGTCCGACTTCAGCCAGGTCACGATCTCGCGGTCCGGGAGTTCGAGCCCCGCGTCGGGCTCTGGGCTGATGGCTCAGAGCCTGGAGCCTGTTTCCGATTCTGTGTCTCCCTCTCTCTCTGCCCCTCCCCCGTTCATGCTCTGTCTCTCTCTATCCCAAAAATAAATAAACGTTGAAAAAAAAAAATTAAAACAAAAACAGAACAAAGAATTTGCAAATAAAAGTTGTATCTATTCAAGGGTATGTGACTTAATATTCTCCCACAGCATTTCTACGTTTCCTTATTGTGGTAAAATACCCATAACATAAAGTTTACTATTTTAACCATTTTACATTTTTTTTAAAGTAGGATTCTTCCCCAGCACAGATCCCGGTGTGGGGCTTGAACTCAAGACCGTGAGATCAAGACCTGAGCTGAGATCTAGAGTCAGATGCTTAACCAACTGAGCCACCCACATGTCCCTATTTTAACCATTTTATTTTATTTTTATTTTGTAAAAAGTTTTTTAATGTTTATTTATTTTTGAGAGAGACAGAGCGCAAGCAGAGGAGGGCAGAGAAAGGGACACACAGAATCTGAAGCAGGCCCCAGACTCTGAGCTGTCAGCACAGAGCCTGACATGGGGCTTGAACCCACAAACTGAGAGATCGTGACCTGGGCTGAAGTCGGATGCTTAACCAACTGAGTCACCCAGGTGCCCCTTAACCGTTTAAAGTGAACAATTCAGTGGCACTGAGGACGTTCTTGATGTCATGTGACCATTACCACTGTCTAGGTGCAGAACTTTCTTGGCGCCCAAACGGAGACACTGTAGCTCTCAAGTGGTCACTCCACATCCGCGCTGTCGGCCCCGGCAACTGTGTCTGCGGTCTGGCACGTGGTGTTGCCTGTGGTGGACGTTCCCTGTCCTCACTGTAGCCTGAACCACAGCAACAATGAGGCATGCCTTGAAGACCACTGTTTGGGTCATGGCCAAGCTATGGCGCCTCTCACCAGGGCAGCGCATCAGGTAGGTTGAAGGTCTCCAAGTCACCGTCTTCCAGAGACTGAAAATGGCAAGTTATAGAACAAGAAGCATATCTTGCTGCTAACAAGAAAATTATGAGGCAGGGGCTATAATTCTCTGTATAAACACAGGCACGCGAATACACAGGCAGCAGTTTCTGTGGACACACAACACAACGGCAGTGGTGCTGGGGGTGGTCGAGGGCCTTCAGCTCTGGCTCTTGATGTTTGGGTTTCCAAGGGGAATGTGTTCGCCTGTGAGTGTGTCATTATAGTGAATTAAATTGAGAGAAAAGAGGAAAAGTGGAAGAGAGGGAACAGTGGACGGAGGGAAAGGCCAGAAGGGAGGCCCACAGAGGCATTCTCTCTGGAGCGGGGTGTGGGGTGCTTTGTTTTAGTTTAATTGTTTTCAACACCACAAGTGGGCTCCTGAATATCCATCACTCTCCACCCCCACCCACCTCCCCTCTGGTGACCAGCAGTGTGTTCCTTGTAGTTGAGTCTGTTTCTTGGTTTGTCTCTCTGTCTCTTTTTCCCTTTGCCCATTTGTTTTCTTTCTTAAATTCCACACACGAGTGAAATCATAGGGTATTTGTCTTCCTCTGACTGACTTGCTTTGTTTA